GTCTAAACTCCTTAAAGGGTTGTATCGGGGATCAAAGAAGGGGATAACTTTGGTATCTATTATGGGGGATGCTAGGACTTTAGATTATAGCTCAGGTATGTAGAATACTCGCCTTGTTAGCTATGTTCAGGTACCTAATTTCGGGGCCCAGATAGGGCTTTGGTGCAGGGGGTTTCGAGCTTGGGAAAGAAGGGGGGGATGAAGAGCCTTGCGGTTTAGTGGATTTTCGGGGCTTAGAGGGTTTAGGAAGGGTTTGTGGGGGTGGAGGGTTGGTGTTTGGAGGGGAGGTTTTTAGCATTTAAGGGGTTTGGGCCGCCTCGGGTTTAAGGACACTTTTCGGTTTAGGGCTTCATGTGGGGGTGCGGGTGGGGTTTAGGGTCAATTTTTTCTGTGAATGGTCCTCAGGGTAGGGGGATGTCGTTACAGGGTTGCATGATGCATGTTATTTCCAACGGTTTTGGTGACCGCGCGTAGAGAGATTTTTCGGTGGGTCCCTTAACCCTAACCCCTAACCATGTGAGATTTGCAGCGATGGGTGAACCAAATGGGCAGGTTGCTGCTTCTGGGCCTCAGCCGAGAGCATGTGGGCGACATGTGTATATGTACATAAATATACATCCACACACAAAACACATTGTGCTTATGAGGGACCCTATATACATAGCGTTGATATTAAGCTTCTGCCCGGTTATGGGGTTAAGACGGAGGATCCAAAGCATGTAAAAAAAACAACTACTGACCAGAGGGGCTAACCCCAAGACCTTACAACCATTGCGTGTCTGGGGTGTGGCAGGGGCCAGTTTATATTTCAGTCTTTCAGGGAGATGATCCACTCCGACACTGTCCTACACCCAAAATCCTGAACCCTAAACCCTACGCCTATACCCAAAGCACACCTCAGGAGTGGACTCCTTTGCCGTAAAGCCCACTGTGCTCCATGACTACAACCGCTGGATGCAATCGCAGTTCAAGGACAAGGCACCTCGCGCTGGCACAAATGCTAGACACGCAAACATTTCAACCTGCAGTCTGAACCTTAAACCTTAGCTGTAACAGTAGTACGAGTAGTGATAGCAGAAATAGTAATAGTAATGGAGAGCTTGACCCGCGATTTTGTACGAAAACGCCACTACGGATCAAAGGTCTGCTTGGATTCTTCTGGCTCTAGTTTGAGGTATCGGCATCTCTGACTGGCCTGTCGGTGTTGACATGCCAGCATGCTACCCTCATTTTCTGTGTTTGCTTGGGTCTTGGGGGAAGATACTAAGGGCTGTTCCACATGGACGCAAACCAGAGTACGACAACCCCCTGCATATCTGAAGACATGTCTCACACCATTTTGGATACATTGTTCACTTACGTTGCATGCAACACGTGATGACTTGGAGTTCGCACTGTCAGAGGCAGGCAACTTCAGTATTCACATTCAGCACTCACTATTACTACTAGTACTACTAGTCTACTAGTACTTTTACTACTACCAGTACTGCTACTACTATTGCCAGCCAATTTCGGGACATGCTTTTGGAGTTATGGTGCGCGTTCCATTCCATGGGGAACCCATACTTGAAGCATGTTCAGCACATCTCCTACACCGCAGTGACGGCTCTCATGTCAACGTCAACCTTGCAAGAGAATACAAGACTTTCCAAAAATGACCCCTATTTAATGACACTGAAGAGAAGTTTCCACTAAAAGGGCAGTATCCCTGGAACCCTAGACCCTACTGAGATTGTATTCTGAACAGAGGAAAACAGGATTGACTAAAGGACAATTGGTTCTTTGGGCTTCTGATCTAACGCAGACGATAAACAGGTCTTTCGATCTTACCTCTTGTGCATTCTCCATGCAAAGTCATGCAATCTAGCACGTGAAGCCCCTGCATCATTCCTAAATACTACCAATATACTCCGCATATAGAACAGCATAGAACCCAGAAAAAGCCCTTAGACCATCCCTAAACCTCTATACACGTGAAGCCTGAGTGTTATTGTCTGTATTGTTCCCCACCCTCTCGTTGGGGTTGTTAAATTTTCACAGTCTGTGTTGTCCTCGCCCTCCGCGCGCGGAGCCTGGCTGCAGTGCCCAATCACCAAGTATCCCTGCAGCGCCCAACCGCAGATTATCCATGCAGTGCCCAAACCCACAGTATCCCTGAAGTGGCCGTGGCAACGTATCCCTGCAGTGCCCAAACCCAGAGTGCGCAACCGCAAAGTGTCCTTCTAGTGCCCAGCCCTTGCAATGCTGAATCTCACTGCCCTGCAGTGCCAAACTGCAACATTCTTGCAGTGCATTTGCAGCGTTGCAAGGAAGACAGTTTAGAGGGGGGAAGGGAAACAGTACATTTCTTGTGCAAAAACAGCTTTAGGATGGGGATGCTCGAAGTAAATATTATTCTTTTAAATTACTTCTACGGGTTGTAATGATAGAGTTGTCAGTACTGTATCGTACGAGCAGTATTCATGTTAGCACGATGATTATAAAGCAATGTAGAAGCCTGAACAATTGGTAAGCAAAAAGAGCCCTAAACCCTAAACCCCTATAACCTTACTCAACTTGAAGTGTGACCAATTTTTGCCCTGATTGCTTTGACCTTTACGTCATGTAGAGCAGCTTAAGCCCCAAACCCTGAACCCAAAGCCCGAAACCACAAGCCCTTGAACACTAAGCCCTAAACCCCAAGCCTTGAAAACTTACGCAAAAAAATCAGGTGTGGACGAGCTGCAGCAGCTGGTATCAAGGCGACAACGGCGACGTAGCAGCTGGGCCAGGGTTTGAGGTGTAGGCTTTATAGCGTTTTAGATTAAGGGACGCGGGTTCGGGGTCTAGGGTAAGAGTTTAAGGTTAAATTAAGGCAGGGGGTCTTAGACTTGCTCCGCTTGACGAGCAGCTTTAGATGCTGTAGCTTTTGATCTGTGCGTGGTAGGTTGTGAACATTGGTCTAGTCTTGCCTTTCATATACGTTTCTTCTGACCGTCCAAACAATCCTAAACCTTAAACCTCAAACCCTAACTATGGCATCTCTAGATTGGAGACAAGATCCCGTAAAAAACATGTGTAACTTGAAGCTGCAGTTTTTGAAAGGGCCCATCCGAGAACCTGGGGTAGGTAGCGCTCTGGCCGGGGTCAACCTACGACTTCTTTACCTGCTGCTACAACGCTCCGAGCCTGATGCAGGATACTGTGGGGCTTAGGGCTTAAGGCCTTTAGGGTTATATAGGGATTCTAGGGTGTATAATATATATATATATGTATACCTATCTCTCTCTCTATATATATATATATGTAGTATATACATAGGTTATATAGGGATAATGGAAAAGAACATGGAAACCATTATATTTGTGGGTTTAGGGTTAGTTGCTTGGGTTGAGGAATTAGGGCTTAGGAGGGGTAAGGGAGCAGGGCTCAGAAAAGTCTGCAGATTACAGCTTAGGATTCGGGGTCTAGGACTTAGGGCTGTTGAGGGCGTTGGTCTGCAGTGCTTTCATGCTCCCCTAAACCCTATAAGCCCTAAACCCAAGGCGCTAAACCCTAAACCCTGCCTCTACAGCATCCCAGGCTTGATGGAGGAGGCCTTACGCGTCAAGAGATTTTTTCTGTTTTTAGTCTAAACTCCTTAAAGGGTTATGTAGGGGATCATATATATATATATACATAGGGGAGTATTGTAGGGGTCATTCAGGGAATACTAGGAGTTTAGACCATAGCTCATATGTTGGAGTCTTTTCATGAAGCCGCGTCCTAAACCCTAAACCCTAAACGGTTTAGGGATGTTTAGGGTTTAGGGTTTAGGGTCATCGGCCTCATGCAAACCCTCCGTCTATTTGCCCCCTTGACCGTAGAGGGCCCTAACCAGGTTTCTTTGAGGAGGCAGTACTTGCAGGGTCACGGGGACTTAGCAAGTAGGTTGATAACCCCCAGAAACAACATAGTAACCCTACGTCCCCCTGACCGTCCCCTAAACCCTAAACCCTGAACAATCTTGTTGTTAAGCTGATCTCCAAATTTGACATCCAGAGCACTACATCGCACTCCTCCGCTTTCAACTTTCCACCCTTAGAAATAGCAATGCTAGTAATTAATCATAGTAGCTTGAAGACTTCAACCGTTTCCTGGGAAGGACTACGACGTCACGAAAGCGAACCGGCCGCCACAATCCAGACTCTGATCCGCCAGACAAACTATTCCTTTCGATTTTCTGTTTAGGAAGAACCCCTCAAACCCTAAGCCCTGGATACTGCCCCCACCAACTAACAGTTGGAGAATATTTATAATATGGTGATATATAGCCTTAATAGGACCCCTAATATGGACTGTTTACTGGGTGGGTGCAATATCCAACCTAAGCCCTATAAACCCTAAGCCCTCTTGAGATCTTCAGAGTCTTGTTTAATCTCATCCCCATATATTAAAAAAAGCTCGAAGCGACCCTTATCGTACGATGATGTACCAAGACGTCTTGCCTTAAAGGCGCCTGAAGCACACATCCTTAGCAGTCAGCGCGCTAATGCCGCGGAAAACGTTTGGACAATGCATTTTAGTTTCAGGGCTTCGGGATTCAGATTTTTCAAGGTTTGAGGCCAGATATGTGGATGGAAGTGGTGCTTCTCAAGATGATAGACCCCTTGATGTGCATGTGCGCCAGAATCGGGCTGTTCTCTCGCGGGCCCCGCAACTTAAGATTCACAATGAGGCGAGAGTCGTATAGAAACCCCAGGGTTGCTACATGCTTTTGTGGGGAGTAGCGCTTACTAGTCGTAGATCGAAGTTCAGGTGGAATATGGGGATGTCTATAGTCCCCCTTAAGTAGATAGAATATGGCTTTGGGTATACTTTATTAAGATCTCCATATACCCCATATTCTATCTATTTAAGGGGGACTGTAAGCTGTTGGAGATTGAAGGGATTAGATATACGTATACAGCGGTGGCAGGCATCTCTCGGAGGGTTGGCTTTATAGTATATTGGGGTTGTATTGGGATAATGGAAAACGAAATGGAAATTACTATAATGGGTTATTTAGGGATTAAAGAGGTTATATGGGGGTTATATTGGGATAATGGAAAAGAAAATGGACACTATCATAGTATGATAGGGTATATACATTATAGTATGTTGTCGCATAGTATAATACATTGTGGTACCAGCCATGAGAGAGCACCTTTGAACCTTGGGCTGCTAGTCGGGCGGCAGGTTACAAGGCAAGTTCTTGTCCGGGTGTTGTATGTGGTTCTTGCGGAGTGATTTTGATGCATAGAGGTTTCGACTGGGACAGGATTAACTTGAGGTTTTGGGATTGTGTTAAAGTTTCAACCTTAGCCTGCTGTGAACAGGTGTAGGGTTCAGCCTGTTTTCGATGATTTAGGTATAGGTCCGATTTAGGTATAGGTCCTTGTCAAAGTCGTGGTGGTGCTTGGCGCCTGACCTGCAAGATCCTGTCACTCTGTCTGTCACTCTGTGGGTGTACTCAGAGCCTTCTGGCATGCACAAATGGATTGCAGGTTAGCCAGTGCTCTCCACAAACTCACAGTGGTCTATGGAGGCTTTCCCAAAAAATGAGGGGTACCTTTTTGGGGGGTTCCTTAGCATTAATTGCGGTATATTCGCAATATCGCCCGCCATATATAATTGTGATTCTCCATTGTGGCAACTACTTGATAGGACCCCCGGTATAGACTGTTGCAGGGTGGGAACAGTACCCAAACTATTTGTGTCCTGGAAGGCCAAGACCTCTGAGACTCAGAATTCTCATGTCTATGAAGGGGGATACTGGGAGTTTAGACTGTTTCTCATGTTCTTTCTCAAGTCCTCAGTTGATGTGACAGCTGCGCCACCCCCAAACCAAACTTAGGACCCTGACTATCATATGACAAACATCCGATCCTTAATGTCCTGCGGGTCCTGAGTTCAAGGGTTGGGAGGAGTTCCCTGAGCTGCATCCCAATGCAGCCCGACCCGTGAAGTAGTTCACCGAA